TTTTCTCCATTTTGGTTTCCAGGTTTCTCCATCACTAATCCCAGGAAGACCTGGAACACCCAACCATCAAATCTCTAACACCCCCGCCGTCTCTCACCGGTGTCTGTGACATCATCAGGGCAACGTTTGATCTGGAAGCAGTACGCGACTCTTATGTTGGGGTTGGAGGTGAAACACCACGGAGCTTCCGAACCGTCCGGATTGCGGCAATAGTTCTCCTCCAGGTTCCTGAAACCAAATGAAAGAAATGTAAATCCTGACCGGACATGTCAGACATGGGCACCCCCTTCCCCTGTACATCCTGACCGGACATGGGCACCCCCTTCCCCTGTACATCCTGGCCGGACATGGGCACCCCCTTCACCTGTACATCCTGACCGGACATGGGCGCCCCCTTCCCCTGTACATCCTGACCGGACATGGTCACCCCCTTCCCCTGTACATCCTGGCCGGACATGGGCACCCCCTTCCCCTGTACATCCTGGCCGGACATGGTCACCCCCTTCCCCTGTACATCCTGACCGGACATGGGCGCCCCCTTCCCCTGTATGATCTCCAACACCCATAGAATGGTTCAGCACTACATGACCCGGTCCCCCTCCCCCTCCATATCCGGTACCGCGGTGTATCAGCGGATCTCGGACGTGTACAGAGACTCACTTGCAGGGGTATTTCTCCGGGACGAAGCGGTGTTTGTGCGGAGTCTGGGAGTCCCAGCGCTGGCAGGGGATTCCGGAGGTGGTCACTGAGGCCTTGCCCCGGTAGCCCTCTCCTCGTCCAGTGAAACAATGGCTGATTATTGGTAAATTCTGTAGCCGCTGCTTCTCTACTTAAACACAGGAGAGAGGAGGAGGCAAGAGAGATAACATTAACGTCTGCATTCGTCACTCGCCGACCTCCGATACAAAACACGACGCGGTCTATTGAGTCTACAATTTGCAGAGCGTTTCACCCCATGAACGTTCATTCTGTGCGAATGGAGGCAAAAAAAACCCCAAAAATGAACGTTCTTAGTTTATTTTCAGGTCAAATGTAAAGTAATTTGATGTAATACCACAACATGGCCACTAGATGGAGCCGGGGAAACATTTCATATGCTCCTCAGCGCCATCTAGTGGCCGTATTGTGGTATTACATGACATGCCACCTGGAAAGAAGATACACTAAGAACATTCCTCGTTTGCCTCCATTCGCACAAAATGAGCGTTCACTGAGATCCGCAGGGTAAAAGGAGTCTGAGTATTGTTTATCAATAGACCCCAAACAGTTTCAAGTGACAAATTAACTGTAAAAAGAGAAAATTAGGACATTCAGATAAGCAATGTATTACAACTAAGGCCGCACAATCTGGTCACAAGGCAGAACCCGGGGGGGGGGGGGGCCGCAAGCAGACGA